TTTATGACAATGAAAAATAAGAAAATTTCCAATGTTCAATGAAAACAGTTATAAAGTATGTCTTTTTACATAATGAAGTGTTGCATAGACAATTAAAATGATGATTGTAAAGATTTTATAATATCATAAAATTGTTATAATAGAACATTAAAAGGGGAGAAGGCAGATTATACAAATTCATGTGAAAAATGTTTAAGCTATGTATAAAAGAGCATATGCATACAAAGAGACTGGAAAAAACAAGAACAATGGAAGATTGGAAAGGAAACATTGTAATGGAAGGAGTTTTTAGTCCATACCCTTCCTTTCTTCTTTAAAAGATATATTCCTAGGACATTCTAGCTCTACACACCAGATGAGACATGTTTTGCTTTTACATTTTTCTTACCCTCCCTAATAAGGGTAAGAAGAAAGAAGAAAATAGAAGCTGCTGGCACAACCTTCATTAGAAATCTACAAAGAGTAAGCCAAACTAAATCAAAGGACAGTAGAGATGTGAAGCCCACCCTGACTGTCCCTGCATGCCAGTCACTCTTCAGCCTTCAGCCAGGCATTGTTACAGCTCCAAAGAGCCATCCATTAGGAATCCTCTCTCCTTGAGCACCCTGAAGTGGGCTGATCGAGAGCTTGTTCCATGCCTGTTGACTTCTTATAGGGCTTTCTTTTTTCTTCTCCTCTAAAGACCAGTCCATTTTACAGCCCAAAGACCCCAGAAAAGGGGTACGAATTTAAGTTCCTGGCACCTTCGGGAGTATTACTTTATCAGAAAATTCTCCTGCAGTGACATCAAGGAAAAACAAAGGGACCTGGTCTTTCAGGAAAGAAAACAACTAAGGGGAAGTCAGTAAGAAAGAAACATAGGAGACATTCTTTCTCTTGTTCATGATACCACACAAACAAATGCTATCAGGGATCAGAGGCAGTTAGAGGCCAGCCCAGTTACACAGAGAACTCAGTAAGGCCTAGGATGCCTGTCCCCTCATCGAAAAAGAAGCCAGAAGAGGGTGAACACCTAGGGAGACTGAGGGGCCACCGAGGTAAAGCTGTGAACCCTAACAAGTATTCAAATTGGATGCACAATGAAAACAATCTTCCCACCGCAGAATGTGCCTGCCTGTTAAACATCTCCCAGTGGAAGAGTGGAGGTACTATTCATTTGCAGCTCAGTAGTAGGCTATTAAACCAAAAACCACTTTTCCCTGTGATACCCCTGCCCAAGCAGAGACTAGAGAAAGATTACAGTAGGATACTTAGCTACTCCTGCATTCTCCCTGCAAACTAAAATTGCTAAAGCAACTGAGGTGATGGATAGGATCATAAGAGAGGGCCAGTAATCTGCCTGTTAACCACATATCAAATGAGTGAAAGGGTCACACTAAAAGAGTTTGCATGTCAGTCTGATTCTCAGGGCATGATGGTGGAGTCACTCCATAGTGCAAGATTCCTAGGTGACCTCTCTTGATGGCATTAGAACATCTGGAATTCATAAAGAAACTTTTACCTCTAATGAATCTTTTATTATTAATGCTAATATTATGGCCCATGGGAAAGTTATGGCCCATGCCCTGTCTAACTCATAGGCACTGTAGGGCACCAAGGAGGAAATGAACAATCATGATACCCCTTACAGTTCCTGATGCATTTTCATAGCCATTACACTGATCATCATCATAGATGGTTGATTCTTCTCCTGAATCCTTGGCAGAAATCATTTCTATATCACAGTGTTCTTCCCCACAGGTCCCCTCTAGGTTGCTACTTTCTACCAACTGAAGGCAGTATGGGAGAAGACACCTAGCATTCCTGAAGGATCTATCCCTAGAAATTTGAAAATCTCCAAATTATAGACAACAATATATTTGGACAATATTCTGTCTGGGTTGCATATTTATTCTATTTGTCTACATACTGCAAGATAAGTTTTTCACTTCAATTTCTTGTTTTTGGCATGACTGCCCTTCCCTCCATGTGTCCCTATCAGCCCCAGAACCACTTCACTCTGCATCATCCCTCAAAAAGAAGCAGTTTCAAGGTTTTTGGCTGTTGATTTGTCTTGTTTTTATCACATCAGAAAAATCAAGACTCAAGAAAGAGTGAGGACAATAAAGTTAGGTTGAGATGTGGCTTCTTGGACCCATTCAATTATTACTAGATGTCTACAGGAAAAGTCTCACTGGGCATGGGATTTTTCTGGATCCCAGAAGAAATGACAAATCACTTAATGTGTTACGGTATTCAGAACCTGATGCTGGGAAAGATAGAAGGCAGGAGGAGAAGGGGATGACAGAGGACAAGATGGTTGGATGGCATCACCGACTCAATGGACATGAGTTTGAACAAGCTCTGGGAAATGGTGAAGGACAGGAGGGAAGCCTAGCGTGCTGCAGTTCATGGGGTCACAAAGAGTCAGACACGACTGAGCAACTGAATAAATTCAGAACTACTAATAAATATAGTACCTAAAGATATAACTTACAAGTTATAAATCTGAAACAGAGAAATAAAATTGCCAAGAGTCCATTTCTGAAAGGATGATATCTTTCCTTTCAATAACTATATGAAGTTGACAGGAAGAATACTGCTCCCATTTATACGGATGCAGAGACCAGAGCCCCGAGAGGCTCTGTTTTAACCAAAATTGTGTTCTATACCCTGACAAATGCACACTTTGCCTTTCCTCAAGGAGGTATCAAGTCGATATTTCCACTTCTAACCCATACAGGCCAAGTCTTTTCAGCGTAAGAGCTTTCCACAATCATGATTCTATCACTGGGGCAAAAAAAGGTCTATGTAAAACGAGCTCTTCCTCTACAAATCCAGTGACACCTAAAAGAATAATCGTGGCAATTATACATCAGAAACAGAGAAGTGATAATTACAAAAATGGAATTTTCAACTACTACTTGGCTAGCCAGCACAGGCAATAACTTTTATATTTCCCCATGGGGGCATATATGAAAGAAGCACGGGGTGGAAAAGAAATGAAACATAATTATCAGGACCTGGGGATTTATTATTTTTGCTCTATAAAGGAAGGGGGAAGGCAGATAGAAGCTGAAACATTCCCTTCTTGCCCTCTGCAAATAGAAAAATGCTGCCTTTCATCCCCTTAATTTCTTTCAGGAATGATGACAAGGCTTATCCAGTCTACTGTACTTCCCTTCTTCATCAACTTGACTTCCTAGTCAGCTAACTGCCTTACCATCTCAAGAATTTGTTCCAAAAATAGCAGAGGGCTTTTTTTTTGTTTTTGTTTTTTTTGAGGGACTTTTGAGTGATGGTTGGGCTTTCCTGGTGGCTCAGCTTGTAAAAAATCTACCTGCAATGTGAGAGACTTAGGTCTGATCCCTGGGTTGGGAAGATCCCTGGAAGAAGGAAACAGCTACCCACTACAGCATTCTGGGTCAGAGAATTCCATGGACTATTCATTCCATGGGGTTGCAAAGAGTCAGACATGACTGAGGAAATTTCACTTTGACTTTTCACTTTCTTTTTGAGTGATGGTACACTGATAAACTGGTCCATCTTAGCTGAGCAAAAGGCAGTAATTATATAACCAGCACATCAGAAAAACAAATATTTCCTTTTTCTGTCTCAGTCTATTGAAAACATCTTAATATAACTCTAAATATAGACCAAATAATAATTGAAATAGTAGTTACAGAACAAATAATAATCAGTCTGCAAAGGGAAAAAATGACTACCAGTTCCCTTTTTTCTCTGAGTACTGTGTATACAATAAGACATAGTTGATTTTCACAGTGTGCTTCAGCAATCATCATTTTAATTCTGAACATAGTTCTGTAGGTGCAGAGGGGATAGGGTGAAATGTGGTTTCCAAAGATGCTGGCATGGTTGTGTATATATATATATATATGTTCGAAGAAGCATATATGTACACCCCCCCACTCCCCCCACACACACATCACCCCCACCTTGTGGAAGGCATGAAGGGTCATCTCATGACTCTTTAAGGGAACTGAACTAAGGTATTTAAAATGAGACATAGAATAGGTACTACTTTTAAGTACTGTTAATTTTGTTTCTGTTTCCAATTAAGCACATAATTAAGCATGTCATACACTTTGGTGTATGCTTCCTACATACATTCCTAGATATATTTGGCCATTGCTTCTGCAGAAATGAAAGCATGATACATATTAGAAGCATTTCATATAGCTAGGAAGGGTAAAAAGTAAACATTATACCAAACCAAGTTTACTCTGCTACAACCAAATTAGCAATAGAATTCATGTATAAAAAAATACCAGTTAATAACAAGACTTTCTGATTAGGTGAAAGGGCTAATTTTCCAGCTGAAATGTATTCACTCCTTGAAAAACTTGTCAAAATGTGCTCCACAAAAGTTGTTCTAAAGGATGATCAGGTATGACATGAGAAAGAGATTCTAGAGTAAAGTGAGTTGGGGAATCAGTGACTTCACGTTTGGCAGCTTCCTTTACTCCGCATTACTCCAGAGAGACTAATATCCTAATGTGAATCCTGAGTCTCCATGAGGGCAGAGTTGGAAAACTGTTACCTAAAATTATGTGACCGCAGAAACGCCTTTGGAAGGAGAAGCACTGTGTGAAACTAGAGTCCTTCATAGTACATTTAAGGAAATGCTTGCTTTTTAGAATACGTTCATAAAATATCTACTTTTTACTAAAAAAGGGGAGACTAATACATAGCTAAGAGCACCCAGTCATGACCTTCTCATGGAGCTTTCTAGCCCAGGGCTTCTCAGTTCAATGGGCACATAAAATCACCAGGGACTACGCTATATGCAGAGTTCTGCTTAATAAGTTTCAATGGGCCCTGAGATTCTGTATTTCTAAAACTTGCCAAGTGATGCTGATGCTGCCAGTCCATGAACCAAACTGAGTGGCAAAGGGCTAGGACACACAATGACTTCAAGTGCTGAAGGTGTCCAGGAACTGCCAGAGTGCCATGTTGCCTGATTCCTACCCAAGAGAGTGGTGAGACTGGATGGGGCTTACCAGTAAAACCTGTTGGGTGTGATGCGTTCATGCATGAGTTGCCACCGTCTTCCAAAGTCCATGGAGCTGTAGAGCTGCAAAACAAGGAAGTGAGCAGAGCATAAGCTTCAAGGGACACTGTTTAACAGAAACATATGTGCCATCCTTCTGGAGATGAACATTCGAACCCACCACAGTGCCTAACACACTCAAGTAGGCATCCATCCTATCCAGATAAAAATATTATGAACATGATGGTGCTGTGCTTATCATGGGGTCTTCTAGCTCAATATATACCCAATCAACTGAGGCTTTTGAGCTGAGTGTAAACTATTTCTGATGCCATCCATGTCTCACCTTTAGAGGTAAAGCCTTTAGTAAAATTATATCTTCCTATTTTCTTCAAATTCCATGAAGTCTTTAGCTATATCTAAAATAATTCAGCAACACTAATTTTAAAAATATTTACTGAACAACTTACATGAAAGGCACTCTGATGGATAAGAAGTTAAGAAAGACGTAGATTCTGTGTTCATAGGAAAAATAAGGCACATGGGTAAAAATGCTCATCAGCTGATACCTGAGCCAATACTACATGCCAAATATTGTACCCCCAGCTTTGTCTCTTACTTCATCAATCTTCCCTAAATATAATCTAAATGGAATGGGCCTCTCAACACCACTTGCGATATCAGGATCAGTCACACCCTCATGTCTTCGTAAGATGGCAAGGATAAGACCACTCTGGTGCCTCAGAGTGCATGCAGGGCCTGTGCAAGTGTGGCTTCCTCCACAAAGCTTTTTCTGACCTTTAGCCCACTCACTATTCTTCCCTCTCAATTCACTGCACTCATCATTCGTTTCCACTGAGCACTTATCCTGGGTAAAATATAGTATGTCTTTCAGATTTGACTGTATTATTTAGTTGTATTTATACTCCTTGAATACATATGAAGTGTTCACTAAATATCTGTCGACTAAGTCAGTAATTAAAATAGGTAGGTAAAGATAGGTATCAACTCATGGAATGAGAAAAAACAACAACAACAGAAGAGCCCCAGGACTTTGGAATTAAAAAAAAAAAAAAAAAAACCCCTCTGCAAGGCCACATGACTCAGATTGCACATTCTCTTACGTTATGAATGCAGAGTTTGATCCTTTATAACACAAAAGGGAAAACTCAACATCCCTGTAAGACATTTACCAGGTGTGTGGGGTTTATTTTTAATTGAATGCCTAAAAGTATAATATCTGAATGTGACTGATAATGGAATAATAATGATGTTTATTATTATTTATATATTATTATTATTAATGTCTGACAGTGTTGCTCCTTCACATACCTCTTAGCCTTACAAGGACATGGAAGGGAAGGGAAGACAATTATCACTAATGGAAAACCCTGCTCTCAAACATTCTCTGATCCACTCAGGCACAGTTAACCACTTCCCCACAGTGCCACCACTATACATACTATCTGCCTCCAAGAAGCTGTTCACACTTAGTGATTACTGGTTAGCTCTCCTCTCCCTAGATGGAGAGTCAACAGAGGAGCAGTGATCATGCCTTATTCATCTTTGTGGTTACACAATGCCTGGTATATAACCAAAGAACACACAAACCTGTTTCACAGTTAATGAGACAGTCCTAGAGAAATTACATTTTGGTCAAATGAACTATTAATAGGATTTAGGTTTTTGGAGGCCCTAGCTCACATCTCCTTCCATGGAATCACAATGCCTAATCCCATCATGTTTACACTTTTCCACAAACATCTACAAGGGGGGGGGGGAAACTGAGCAAGGCAGAGTAGGTGGCCCTCAGGTCCATGGGAATGGGGTCAGGTGAAGGCCACACATGTAATCACAGGGAGCTACTGACCCACAGTGCTCTCCAGTCTGCCACACCCATAACGTTTCCACCTGTAAGCTGTGAGCCCATAATCTCACAATGCACACAGAATTAACTTTTGTATGAGCTTCTGGTAATCTCAAAAAAGTTTTGAGGGGCCTGGAGAAGCCTGGTCCCATTTCAGTTTCATTCAGTAAATATTTATTGAGCATTGCCACCATGTTTCATTCAGCAAATATTTATTGAACATTGTCACCATGAACTACATTTCTGAAGTCTCCTTTTAGTCTAGTAATTAACAGATGTGTTTGAGTGATGTTGTATACATATATATAAAACCTGAAGACCCTGAAAGATACTGGAGACATTGACACTCAGTTCTACAAAGGGACTGTGGCAACAATATGGAAATCCAGGATGTCCGAGCTGATCGAGCTGATTCCAGGTTTATACTATTCCACGCCAACTCCACCAGCTCTCATGGTTTTTATTCAAACTGGGCTTTCACTCTGTGAAAATGAAAGTTTCTCAGTCATGTCCAACTCTTTGTGACCCCATGAACTATAGAGTTTTCCAGGCCAGAATACTGGAGTGAGTAGCCACTCCCTTTTCCAGGGGATCTTCCCAACCCAGGAAGTCCCAAATAACATATGTGTCCAAATCTGCACATGAAAAAATGGGCAAAACTATTGTTCCATTGCTCTGAGTCTCTTTCTTCATTCACCAATGTAGTGAATAAAATGACGCAATGGACACGAAGCTGGGAAAACTTCAGAAGATGGTGAGGTATGAGGTACACAGAGGCCTGGCATGTGCCATGGGGTAACAAAGAGTCAGACACAACTGAGTGACTGAACAACAACAACAGCTCTACACCATTACATTAAAGAGCACTCAACTACATTTAATTATTCAGGAAGCTAAAAGGGTAACCACATCTGGCCCTTAAATATCTATACAGTTCCACCATGTCAAAGAAGAAGCTGAAGCTGAATGGTTCTATGAAGACCTACAAGACCTTCTAGAACCAACATCCAAAAAAGATGTTCTTTTCATTATAGGGGACTAGAATGCAAAAGCAGGAAGTCAAGAGATACCTGGAATAACAGGTAAATTTGGCCTTGGAGTACAAAATAAAGCAGGGCAAAGACTACAGAGTTTTGCCAAGAGAACGCACTGGTCATAGCAAACATCCTCTTCCTACAACAAAAGAGAAGGCTCTACACATGGACATCACCAGATGGCCAATACAGAAATCAAATTGATTATATTCTTTCCAGCCAAAGATAGAGAAGCTCTATACAGTCAGCAAAAACAAGATGGGGAACTTATTGTGCCTCAGATTATGAATTCCTTATTGCCAAATTCAGACTTAAATTGAAGAAAGTAAGGAAAACCACTAGACCATTCAGGTATGACCTAAATCAAATCCCTTAGAATTATAAAGTTGAAGTGACGAATAGATTCAAGATATTAGATCTGATAGACACACTGCCTGAAGAACTATGGATGGAGGTTCATGACATTATACAGAAGGCATTGATCAAAACCATCCTCAAGAAAAAGAAATACAAAAAGGCAAAATGGTTGTCTGAGGAGGTCTTACAAATATCTGAGAAAAGAAGACAAACAAAAGGCAAAGGAGAAAAAGAAAGATATTCCCATTTGAATGAAGAGTTCCAAAGAATAGCAAGGAGAGATAAGAAAGCCTTCCTCAGTGATCAATGCAAAGAAATAAAGGAAAACAATAGAATGGGAAAGACTAGAGATCTCTTCAAGAAAATTAGAGATACCACGGGAACATTTCATGCAAAGATGGGCACAATAAAAGACAGAAATGGTATGGACCTAACAGAAGCAAAAGATATTAAGAAGAGGTGGCAAGAATACACAGAAGAACTAAACACAAAAGATCTTCATGACCCAGATAACCATGATGGTGTGATCACTCACCTAGAGCCAGACATCTTGAAATGTGAAGTCAAGTGGGTCTTAGGAAGCATCACTAGGAACAAAGCTAGTGGAGGTGATAAAATCCCAATTGACTTATTTCAAATCCTAAAAGATGAAGCTGTGCAACTGCTGCACTCAATGTGCCAGCAAATTCGGAAAACTCTGCAGTGGCCACAGGACTAGAAAAGGTCAGTTTTCATTCCAATCCCTAAGAAAAACAATGCCAAAAAATGTTCAAACTACCGCATAATCGCACTCATTCACAAGCTAGCAAAATAATGCTCAAAATTCTCTAAGCCAGGCTTCAACACTATGTGAACTGTGAACTTCCAGATGTCCAAGCTGGATTTAGAAAAGGCAGAGGAACCAGAGATAAAATTGCCAACATCCATTGGATCATCAAAGAAGCAAGAGAGTTCAAGAAAATCATCTACTTCTGCTTTATTGACTATGCCAAAGCATATTGACTGTGTGGATCACAACAAACTGTGGAAAATTCTTCAAGGGATGGGAATACCATACCACTTTACCAGCCTCCTGAGAAATCTGTGTGCAGGTGAAGAAGCAACAGTTATAACTGGACATGGAACAACACACTGGTTCCAAATCAGGAAAGGAGTACATCAAGCTGTATATTGTCACCCTGCTTATTTAACTTCTATGCAGACTATATCATGAGAAATGCTGGGCTGGATGAAGCACAAGTTGGAATCAAGATCTCCAGGAGAACTATCAATGACCTAAGACACACAGATGGCACCACCTTTATGGCAGAAAATGTAGAACTAAAGAGCTTCTTGATGAAAGTGAAAGAGGAGAGTGAAAAAGTTGGCTTAAAACTTAACCTTCAGAAAATTAAGATTATGGCATCTGATTCTATCACTTCATGGCAAAGATGTGGAAACAATGGAAACAGTGACAGACTTTTTTTTTTGAGCTCCAAAATCATGGCAGATAGTGACTGTAGCCATGAAATTAAAAGATGCTTGCTCCTTGGAAGAAAAGTTATAACTAACCTAGACAGCATATTAAAAGGCAGAGACATTGCTTTGCCAACAATAGTCCTTCCAGTCAAAACCATGGTTTGTCCAGTAGTCATGGGCGGATGTGAGACATGGACCATAAAGAAACCTGAGTGCCAAAGAATTGATGATTTTGAACTGTGGTGTTGGAGAAGACTCTTGAGAGTCCCTTGGACTGCAAGGTGATCAAGCCAGTCCATCCTAAAGGAAATCAGTCTTGAATAGTCTTGGAAGGACTGATGCTGAAGCTGAAACTCTAATACTTTGGC